AGAAGTCTTACAAGCATAGAGGCTCTATCAATCCTTTTGGTACTTTCCGCAACTTGGGTTAATAGAATTGATCAGACAAGAATTGCACTAGATCTGAAATATCCATCACTAAGGGAATAAAAAGGGTTGTGAACTGCAATGAACGAAATCCAACTTAGTTATGCTGCTCACAACATAAATTGTGGGTATATACTCACACGGCGGATTTGATGTCCATGAAGGCGAGACAGGATCTGGCGCCGGTTTGTGAGGGAGGAGAGCACGACTGAAATCGGGGCCCACCGGGCCCACAAATTCAAAACCCAAATACTTTTTGTTTCAAAAGCCTTTTTTGGTCATCAAATCTGCCAGTCGCTTTTCCCCTCTCTCTCGCTTCCCCCCCCCCCTCTCTCTCTCGCTTTCCTCCTCTCACGAACGCAGATAAAGAAGCAGCGACCAAAGCAGGGAAGCGGTGGCGACGGAGCAGCAAAGCGGCGGCGAGGGTGGAGCGTAGCGGCGGCGGCGATGAAGGGCGGGGTTTCACGGCGACGAAGCAACGGCGGTTGGTTTGACGGCGGTCGTTGAAGAAAGAACTACTACGTGGACTGAGGTAACCGTCTTATTTATACTTTGTTCATGGATATTCATTTTCGTTTGGACAGATTTGAGTTAGGGTTTCATGGCTACGACTTGATTCGGGGTTTTCTTTTATGGATTTGTCTTTTGGGTTTAATTATACATTGTTCACGGATATTCATTTTCGTTTGGACAGATTTGAGTTAGGGTTTCATGGCTATGACTTGATCCGGTTTTCCTTTTGTAGATTTGTCTTTTGGGTTCGTGGGTGAAGTATTTATTTTCTGGTAACTTATATTTCACTGGGTATGAGTTCGTTCTTTTGTGGATTTTATTTTTGGGTTTTGTGGATTTGCTTTGTGTTCCTTCCGATATTAGTTCTGTTCAGCAGGATATTCATTCTTTGTATTCTGGATATCCATTGTATTGTGCCTGGATTGTTGTTTGATGTATCTTGATATTGGTTTTGTTCGAGCATGATATCAGTTAAGATTGTTGATATTGTTGATTTGATGCTTGATATTAGTTAATATTCTAGAGATAATAGTTCATTTCATTCCTGATACCTTTTTTGTGTGCTTGTGATATTAATAACCATTCCTAGAATAGTAGTTCGTTTCATTCCTGATATCTGTTTTGAACGATTTTTTGTAGATTCATTTGCTAGACTTCCTTAATGTGAGAGGGTTTGCCACAAAAACCATCCCGACCTGCAGCTATTGGTTCGACCCAAGGGTGGATAAGGTGTGCTCGAATATCCCCAAGGTAGCTGACAAATATATCATGGGTCCCATGTTGTTGTCAAGGGAAGAAGTGAGATCCCGCTTCCGTCCAGAGCGTGTCAAGAGGGATTGGGAATCAGGTTCAAGCAGCTCGACTCCTGCTACTGATTGGTAGACTTCCTTACGAAGATGCTTCTTGGCATTCATGAGGATGTGCCAAGTACAGAGGGCATGAAACACAGTAGGCCACTCCTTTCTAAGGGCAGCTGCCATGGCGGCATCCTCATCAGTAAAAATAGTGATTGGGAGCTTCTTCTTCATGCACCGACTAAATGCTAAAAACAACCATTCAAAAGATGGTGTAGTCTCATCATACATCAAACAAGCACCAAACACAAAAGTTTGACGGTGGTGATTGAAACCTACAAACATCCCTGCACAAGACAACTATTAATGACAATGCATAACCGAACGAGTGTCGAAAAAACTTAAGGGAATTAGGAATTGATATTGTGCCAACACATGTCAACAAATATCTGTAAAACCTAGACTAGTATCTCATAATGCCATAATAATATTCGTCCTTTTACAAAAACATATCTTGTCAGGCCATGTCAATATCGGATCACAAGAGACCACTCTCGAACCACCTACATTCTATTCATAACCATTTCCGTAATATACGTACAAACATTCATGCACAAGACAACTATTACTAACAATCCATAACCGAACGAGTGTCGAAAAAATCAAAGCAATTAAGTGATTCACGTACCTAGTGGACGGAAGTATTTATTGGTTCGGAAGGTAGTATCAAAGGAGACCGAATCTCCAAAAAGTGCATAATCTTCACGTATCCTACTGTCCGCCCAAAAAATATTAGCAACTTTCTCCTCGCAATCTACCTCTACAGCATAAAAGAAGCCAAGATGCTTTCCTTTTGGTCCTCAAAGTGGTCAAGCAAATAAGTCGCTTCACCATGAGCCATTTTCCTTTGCCTTTTACTGTTCAAGTGGTTCTTCAGAACGGATTTGGTAAATTTCAGATTTTGATAGCCACCAGCACAGTCAGCCAATAACTGATACGATGCACTAAGACTCATCCCGGCATCGCGATTAGCTTCGGCCATCTTTTTATGAGCATCACTCATGCACTTGTTGGACTTGATAAGGTGCGTATGCTCGGTGGAGTGCAAATCATGATTGTGGGCTCCCACGAATTCATACACTACATCCGTTTCTAGTATCATCCCATTGAAAATGAACACGGGCATTACATCCAACCCAAACTCGAGGCCTCTTTTTTTTAGGACGCTTTCTCTCCACAACTTTGTCTTCGGACTGTTTTTGTTTCTCCACATCTACTTTGTTAGTGGAAGTCCAACTTTGCTTATTACAAAAGTAATAAAGGTAGAAATAAATTTTCTCCGCCTCTCCATTAGAATTCTTCATTTTTCTTTGGTGTTCTGCAGCATTTCGAACACCAAAACCCCCCACAATAGTGTCCAATAGACGTCTAAATCATACCCATAAACAGACTGAATTCTTAGGCTTCGACAAGTATCCAACCTTTAAATACATCTTATCCTTTTGTTCCAGAAAAGTATCAGTCGCGTCCACAAAAATATCCAATATACCCAAAATAATATTACACCTATTCCTAAAACATATCCTTGACACTCAAAAGAATATCCATACCCAAAAACCCAAAAGAATATCCAACTACTTTCATCACGTCCATAACAATATCCAACATGCCCAGAAAAATATCTTAAATAGTTCTACAATGTATCAATGACAACCCAAAATAATATCCACACCCAAATACCCAATGAAACAGGAGGTTACTCCCAAAATAATATCAACACCATTCAATGCACACAACAAAACTCAACAACACAAACATATATATAATAGAATCCACCTTCACTTTCTTCATCTTCTTCTTCTACAATGAAGGCATCCACACCATCTGAGTCTTCATCAACAAATTCATCTAGTGTAGGATCGAGTTCTTCTTCTAAAATGAATGCAGCCACACCGTCCAACTCGCCGTCGTCGTCAAAAAGCAGTGTCTTTCTAAGAATGATCTGCTCGCCAGCAAGAAGAGTCTCGCCGCAAGGAGAGTCTTGCCGGGAGTGACGATCACCGGCGACTCTAGCGGTGGAAGAGCAGAAAAGTAAAGGAAACAAAGGAGAGAGAGAGAGGGTTAGAGAGTGAAAGTGGTTGAGATCATTTAATGCAAACTTCCCCTTTATCAGCCAACAAATATTCACCAAATCTTCTTCTGATCTCAAAATCCTGCCCAAAAATTTGCCAATCAGCAAAGTAGTTGGGCCCAAATGTCTATTTCATGAGCCTTCGGCCCATGGGCCCTCGGCCGACAGCCCTTACTAGGTTGCAAGCCACCTCTCCAATTTCGTTCTTCTTTCTCCAAATTCCCGCCCAATATTTCGCCACTCATCAAGACAGCCTGCTGGCTCCATTTCTCTACTCGGCTTGGGCCAAAAAACTCACCACGCTAATTTAAGTGAGCCCGTCTCCCTCCTCTCGGCTCGGCAGATCTGTGGGTCTATGAGTATCTACTCACAAGACCCACTGTGAGCAGATTAACTTTTTCGACCGAAATCAGAGTCTACTAAATTCGAGCTTCCATTGAAAGGACCAAATCCTCGACCGTGATGCCCTGTTCAACTATGAAATCGAAATTGACAACATAACTACTCGGAATAACTGAGCAGATGCATGTGTTGGATATTGGACTACCGAGCTAGAGCTACCTCGAAGAACTCATATGAGAAGCTTTCCTTTGGCTCCCTCACTCTTCTCTGAGAAGGAGGATAAGAAAACTAAGATTGAGATCTTTCAATTAAGAGGAATCGCAACCATGCATGTCGACAATATGGGAAGGTGAAAAGAGAGATCGAGAAACCTGTGGTGCCGCTAGCGGTGTTGACGCAAGTGAAGATCGAGGAACGACAAGAAAATTTGAAAACAAAACTAGAATTGGGAAATCACAGGAAAGAGGAGAGAATATAGGAGGATGTAAGTATCGGTGGCGGCGACGAGGTCGGTAGGTAGACGGAGGATTAGAAAACTCAGAGTGCCATCGAAACTAGGGTTCCAAAACTGCCATAGAGAGAGCTCTTTTCCCTTATTTTGCATACAGAGCTCTATAATTTTATGTTTTCCCACTATTTAGAATAACAAGAATAAAGGGAAATCATTTTTTTTTAACCGTTACGCTCTGTTTGGCAACGAGGGGGCGCAAATCCAAAGGGGTTGCAAATTGAGTCGTAAATTGCAGGGGGTAGCAAATTTAAAGTAGGTGTAAATTAGGGGGTAAAATGTTGTTTGGGAGAAAAAGTAGGAGGGTGCAAATTGAAATAGGATTGTATTTAATTAATAATATTTTATCAGAAAAATAATTGAAAAATCATAATTAATTATGTTGACCTTCCTCGTTTATCTCTCTTACTCTTTTTCCGCGTTCAGTCTTAACTCAACATTCCATTTTTTTCCCTTTTTCTCCGACTCTCTCTCTCTCTCTCACTTAAAATCGACCAGATACCCCAATTATCATCTTCTTCCTCGGCCTTATAGCATTCTCACATCCTTCTCTGATTTCTCCGATACTCTCTCTCTCTCTCTCTCTCTCTCTCATCAATCCACTCCCTCAAGCTCGTCGGCCGCCGCCGTTGATCTTTCTCAGGGGGATCGGAATAGCAAAGATGAGAAGGGGTGAAGATGAGAAGCTACCGGCATGAGGAGCGAGGGATCAGAATCCTAGATCCGGTAAGTTTTGGGCGTGCATGTTGTTTGGGTTAATTCTGATTCTTGATTCTGGCTTATGGATTTAGTTTTACAGGCGTTACCAGCGGCTCCTCTCTCACTCCAGCGGAGACGGATTCACCGGAAGGCAGATTCAACGGAGGAAAGAAATAATAGCTATGAAAAAAATGCAGGAAAAAAGTGAGAGGTCGTTCAGCCTTTCTCTCTCCTCTTCTGCCCCGATTTGGGGGGCACGTGTAACACCCCGATAATTTAGATTTAGGTTCGACCTTAATACGTGATCGGTTGGATTGGCGGTTAAGTACTAAGAGTTAGAACCGCGGTTTAGGAATAATAATAATAATAATAGGGTGTGCCTACGGTGACATGCATGTCACGGTGACTTGCACTTTCTGGTCGACCTCAGTTAGGATTAGGTCGACCTCATTTAGAATTCGGTCGACCTCATATAGGATCTGGTCGACCTCATTTAGGATTCGGTCGACCTCATATAGGATCAGGTCGACCTAATCTGTTGTTTTAGTGTAAAAACAATTCATGGTGCCTACTTTGGATATTCATATCATAAAATTGGCTAGATGGAAATTGAAGACTAATGACTTGTTTTGAAGCTGGAGTGTCCCTCTACATATTGAAGTGATTGAGAGCTCAATAGGAAGTCCAGTAGACCATTTTTGAACCTCATCAAAAGGCTATGCCAAAACTTGGAAACTGCCTAGAAATGCCTAAGTCTGGAAACGTGTTTGTGAAGCCTATTTTGGAGCTCAATTCGAGAAGCATGAATGTGAGTCGAGTCCACAAGCCTCTACCACGTTAAATTAGGTATGTTTTCATACAAATTCAAGGCATTGGATGAAAGATTGGATATCTGTAAGGCTTCAAACAAAAGGGTCGAAGTTGCTACGAAGGTTGTTTTTCTGATAGACTTCGAGCACAAGCAAGCGGCCAGAAAAACTGCCTTCGTAGCAACTTCGAGCCTTTTGTTTGAAGCCTTAAAGATATTCAATCTTTCATCCAATGCCTTGCCTTTATATAAAAAATACGTAATTTAACGTGGTAGAGGCCCCTGGACTTGACTCACATCCATACTTCTCAAATTGAGCTCCAAAGTAGGCTTGACAAACAAGTTGCCAGACTTTGCCATTTTCAAGCAGTTTCCCAGTTTTGGCATAGCCTTTTGGTCAGGTTCAAAAATGGTCTTCTGGACTTTCTATTGAGCTCCCAAGTACTTTAATGTGTAGAGAGACACTTCAGCTTCAAAACAAGCCTTTAATCTCCAATTTCCATCTAGCCAATTGTAAGATATGAATCTCCAAAGTAGGCACCATGAAACTGTTTTTACACTGAAACAACATATTAGGTCGACCTGATCCTATATGAGGTCGACCGAAAAGTGCATGTCACCGTAGCAAAGTCCTAATAATAACTATTATTATTATTACTATAACTAGCTTATAATCCGGCCCGTTGGCCGGAATGTTCATATTTTAATATTTATATTTTTATGTTATGTTTCAGTCTATTAATTTGTTTAAGTTTATTGAAAATCATTCAATCGAGATTCTACATAAAGAATGAATATATCGGTCGAACATTCAGGAAAATACCCTCCTCATTTTCGAATATAAAAATGTATCATTAATTCCATTTTCATAATGATAATTGAGCCTCATTAAAATGATATTGGTTAATAGATTGTCCAGAAATATAGAATATAAAAGCTTATTGGAATTCCCACACGATCCATAGATAGTTTGAAACTGAAATGAAACCTCACAATCCCACATAAATGGTTTAAAGCTCTCCTCTATGAATAACATGCCACTAATAAAAAAGAAATGGACTTATAAAAAAAAAACAGAAATGAAGAGTTGTTGATTCAAGTAAATCATATGCTAACAACTCAACTAAAAGGAGACCATCAATACTTGAAAGCAAATGACAAAATTAGAGTTACATCCAATATACTAATAGACTCGATCAAAGTAATGAGACACAAAATTAGACACTGCTTATCTACAGGTTCTAGTAGTTTGAATAGTGAATCGACCTTAACTTTAGTAAATCAATCAATGATTCCTCGTTTTAACATAAACATAGGTTGTGGTAGTTGCAACAACCATAACACCTAAAGATCCAATACTTTTCACTCTCCATTGTACAACCAACTTTTTATCCCCTCCATCTTCAATATCTCGACGTATATGTTTTAAACCAAAATTCAATTTCTAATCCTCCTTCTGCAACTCCGTTTATGCTACTTTGATGGACCTTCTCTCCATGAACCTGAATTTCTCTTTCAATTGAGTTTCTTGTCAACTTGATCTCCAACTCTTCAATCCTCTTTCTTGTATTTGGCCAACTCATCTTCCTCGGGGCAGTTTTAATAAGCTCGTAAAACCAACACTCATCTTCAATTCCATCAATATGCTCTTCTCCTCCTTCTCTGCCTTCACCTGATCCAGTTCACTTCCATGCCTTTCAATACCCTCTCCATTTTCATTAAAATCCTGATCATCTACCACTTCTCTCTCTTCAACTGCTCTGATTTTGCTTCTATGTCTTTCAATACCCTCCTTGGTTCAATCACTACCCTGACCAACTGCCTCTTCACTGCCTTCACAGCCTTCACTTGCTGCAAACTACTTCCATGACTTTTTATACACCTTCCTCAAAATTACAATCAACTAACCAATATCAATCCATGGCCTTGGATTAGTTTTAAACTCTCTATGAACATCTCAATACCACAAAGTCTAAATCTAAATATTCTTTCAGTTAATCATGAACTTGATGAGTTTATCAAAATCTAATCCACTCCTTCTAAGTTGGAATTCTCATCCCCCAAGCTCATTTTTGGTTCATTTGATCTCACATAACCATGATATTATACCTCTAACTAAAATAAATCAAAGCATTTTACGAAAAGAAACCAAACTATGAACTTTACCTGCTACCAAATCCAAACACAATTTCTCCCTCTCACCACTTCCCTTAATCCCTTCCCAAACCCAATATCAACTTTTACTCCAAGTACACACCCCCAACTCCTAGTGTGTTGCGTGAAAGTTTAATTTTAGCAATCATTATGCTTGCAATTAGATTAATGGACACCAGCAAGCGCCAAAATTCCACCAAACGATGAGTTGTCTTCACTTTGAGTTTTGTCACAAAACTTCTGGCCCGATATGTTTATCAGTTTGGAGGCCATATGATGAGCAATACCGAATCAGTTGCAGCGAAGTTACCTTTCACAGTAATGACAATGTGAAACATGTGTTAACAAATGCAAATATGTGCTACTTTTATGGATTGACATTAGAATGATGTGATTGGACAATGAGATCGTCCTTAGTTAAGAGACATGTAAATTGGTTCATTTGGTATGGAGGACACAAACCGTTAAAATTCTAAATTATTTGGGTGAGTTTGTATTTAGTGTTTTCAAAATCGTGGTATATAAGTTAGGTGATTAAAATATCTAAACCCAAACGAACCGACCCACGTACACCCCTAGGAAGAGTTTCAAAACTTAGTATTTAACTGGACAAAAATGTTCAGAGAACCAGTTACCTATAGTTTGCACAAAGATATGATTGCTTCACTATAGTTATGGAAATTAATGGTAATTTAAGAATTCTATATCGCTTCTACATATTCAATACTATAATTTGATATGAAATATTCGAACCAACAATATAGAGTTAATTGCATGGTTGGTCACTGAGATTACTAAAAACGTTTATGTTTGGTCACTCGAAATATTTAAATCCATTTGTGGTACCTAACTTTACAAAAACCGTTCGCTTATGGTCACTCTCCGTTAGTTGCCGTCCAACGCCGTTAACAGCGTCCGTTAAGTGATGACGTGGCTGACGGATTCGCCTAATCAGCACTTTTTAACCCAAAAATTGGCTGACCCGACCCGCCACGTCATTTAAATCTGCCATGTCAGCTAAACCTAACCAACCCTCTAACCTAACCAGACCAGACCCGACCCAACGCCCACCACCTTGTTCCTCGCGCTCAGATCCCCGCCGTCGGCACCGGATAACTTGTCCTCGCACGCGCCGGCCTGGTTGGCGGCGTCGTAAAGGGCGTACCTGGTGAAGTCGTAGTAGCCCCTGAAGAAGGCCTCGATCGCCTGCGGCAGGTTGTATTTCACCACGGGAATGTAGAGCTCGGCGAAATTCGCCAGGGTCTTCTCAGCCTTGGGGTCCTTCTCATGCTTTAGCTGGGCCTGGATGAGGACAGCTTGTCCGTGGCGTTGGAGAGGACGAAGTTTGTGAGGGTGGAGGCGAGGGACTTGACGTCGGCGGCGGAGGAGGAATTGGAGTGGAGGGTGGCGGCGCAGAGGCCGTTGAATGGGGTTTTTTGCACAATTCCTCGATTAGATCGCCAGAGCGGGGGGCGTCGGGGAAGGCGGTGATGAGGAGGATGAGGATGGGGAATGAGGGATGAGGGAATGTCGTACGAGGAATTGAGGATTCCACTTTGATTTTTTGAGGAGGGTTGGTTAGGTTTAGCTGACATGGCGGGTTTAAATGACGTGGCGGGTCGGGTCAGTCAATTTTCAGGTTAAAAAGTGTTGATTAGATGAATCCGTCAGCCACGTCATCACTTAACGGACGCCGTTAACGGCGTTGGACGGCAGCTAACGGAGAGTGACCATAAGCGAACGGTTTTTGTAAAGTTAGGTACCACAAATGGATTTAAATATTTCGAGTGACCAAACATGAATGTTTTTAGTAATCTCAGTGACCAACCATGCAATTAACCCCAACAATATATTGGTTGCAAATTTATGGTTATCGTCTATTTATAAGATAGATAAAATTTTAAACTAAGTATCAAACTATAATTAAAATAAAAAATATCAAAATCGAAGTATCAAAACACCATATAAGTACTTACGAAATATTTATTGGGCTAGCTAACTGTTGAAAAGTTCTGTGATTTCATATTTTAGGTTCGTATATATTTTTAATTTAAAAAAAATACAACACATCTACATAGTCTGATTGATTTTAAACCTTCACTTTGTTTGAAGTGACCATGGTTCAAATATCAATATGTCTATCTTTTTCTATAAATAAATAAAAAATACAGATAATTGTGAAGACAAAAATGTTCTTCCTAATTTCCCTCTCATTGCAGGAAATTTGAAAAGGGAGATTAAGTTTCAAAATAATTAAATCATATACCCTAAACCTATAGAACTTAAACCCTAATATCACATATACTAAGAACATAATCAATGATTATGATATAGAGTTTAGTTACGTGATTAATCTATGGTCTAGATAATGTTATTTAACTAAGGAGATGCAATAACCCTCAATCCATGGAGCGTACCATAGAATTTCCAATGTATATACACATACCATTGTTTGTTAAATTTAGTCAATGATAATTGGCTCATTTGTCAATGGTATTTAGTCTTTCAATTCTATACTTATAATTATCAACCGTTAGGAAAATTGTTAGCCAATGATTTTTGGTCATTCACTTATAGCATTGACAATATCTCGTTACAAAACCATAGATCACAAATGTCAAATTTTATGTTTTGAAATAAAATTTTGTATAGCACTTTTGTAAACAATCCTTGTATTCCTACAAACTACAAAGTCATGTAACCTAATAAATGTAAAAGTTGTAAGACATACATAAACTCAAAATGTACTATTTGATTCTTGGTGAAGAATTGTGTGATTAGAGGAACTCACTTAGTTTATTCATAAAGCTAGGTATATCATGATGATTCACTTTGTAAATAATTACAGTTATTAATTAATTCGATGATTGATTGTTGCGGTAAATAGTGTTATGATTTTGAGATATTTCAGTATTTTCCCTCTTTAATTCAAAAAATACATAAACATTATTGTAGTCAAGTTGGTTAGGGATATTTACTATCAATCTAGAGGACTCGAGTTCAAGTCTTGGTAATGACATTTTTTTTCTCGTAAGAAGATATTTAAATTTTAAGTTGAACTTACAAATTTACCCCTAGCTACAATTAAGAAGAGTGCAAGGAATTTGAAATGCTCAAAATCTCCTGAAGAACGACTATATATTATAGAAGGGATTAAAAAAAAGAAAAAAAAAAGCAGGAGCCGCTCGGCCCCATATTATTTTTCCCAACTCCCATTAACCCATCCCACATGAAACCCTTTCCCCAGATATTTAACCCTCCCCACCCTTAGGCGACATTTGATTTCCGCTGCTCAACCCTTTTCCCCAGCTCAACACGGAGAAGAAGACCGGTAGAAGGAATGGGAATTTGTTGATGGGATAAATATGGAGTTGGTGGCAGCATTACTTGTACCGGGATGAGAAGCACCCACCAAACGGATGCGATAAAGGAGATGACTCGCGTCTTCGTCCTTGAGAACTACTGGCGACAGGGGAAAAGGATCAAGAGGCGAGAAGAATGGAGTGGGTGGAGGATTTTCTTGAACCAGGAATTGAAGGGAAGGGCATTTACCAATTTGATGGATGATGAGGTGACAATCAACGAGGGAATGATCCCTTCCTCAATTACAGGCGAGGTGCTTCAGGGAATTAAATGGACCAAGTCCATTGTCTTTTTGTGCAAGGGAAAAGGACAGTGCAAGGAAACAAAGTGGAGTAGCTCCCCAGTCACTCTCGGCCAAAGGACACGGGGCAATTTGTTGAGGGAGCTACCGTAGGGGCGCTTGAAGAACCTGATTGGGCCACGAGCTGCTACGTGACATGATTTAGTAAGGAGGAGATAAATTGTACGGGGTTGGCGGTGGAATTATTTGGACAAGAAGGAGAAGCACCCATCTAATTTTGCAATCACATCGCCATCCTTTACACCGGGATGGAGAGGATCGATAGTTGTGCACCGAAAGCAAGAGTTGGAATGTGGGTGATCTAGAAGGTTGGGAAAGGATTCAAGCTAGTTTCCGTTCTAACGAGGTGAGTGTAAAGGGGGTAAAATCTCTGTCTTAGGTCTTTTAGTTTATGCTTTTCGTTCAAGTTATTAATTAGTTAATTTTTGAGTAATGTGCGATATGTGTGTGAGGCATCCCATCGCCTGTAAGGGTGGAGGCACGCGTTGTGCTATGTATGAATGTATGGATGTATGATTGTAATAATTGGTTAATGGTAAGAGGAACCCCCGGGCGGTTGGGCCACTACTGGACGCAGTAGATGGTCGGATCACTGCTGGACGGCGAGACGTAACGCAGCAGTTGATCGAGTATGTTAGGGTCACTACTGGACGGCGAGACGTAACGCAGTAGTTGATGGGCATGGACTGGACGACGAGACGTAACGCAGTGCCATTGCCGAGTTTGGGTATGCAACCGGACGGCGAAACGTAACGCGGTTGGCATACGGTAGGAGACCGGACGACGAGACGTAACGCGGTGGTCCTAGTGTTTTGTGTATGAGTTAAGGATAGAGGTAGAGAGCTTCTACAAGTTAAGGATAAAAGTTGAGAACCTCTATGAGTTAAAGTTGAAAGGAGTTATTAAGAACATAAGTAAGGGAATTCTAAAGATAAGACAGGAGTAGAGATCTCTTTAGACTGTTGATAGTAAAGTTTAAAGGATGAAAGTGAGAACGACTTTCGTCTAAGGAAGGCATTCCCCTAATAATGTGTTTAGTAAGGAGTTTGCCTAGGGCAAAGACCTTAGGGAGTAATGACGAGACTGACCCCTTCTCACTCACCAGGTTGAGGATAGTCTAGCAGAAGGGGATCACGAGAAGAAGCAGGGCGAGGCGAGCAGCAGTACCAGCGTCGACGGGATATCGGAAAGCTCGTGAAGAGTCAGAGCTAGAATAGTTAATTATTCTGTTTCATGGTTATTAGTATAAACTGGAGATTCTGTGTTTAGTCGTTTTAAGTGTTTGAGATTGAGGATTTTGCCCAAGTGTTGGGGCTTTTCATTAAAAATTCTTAAATGATGTCAGTTTGTTTATTTTAAAATGTGGTTTGGGTTGCTCTGGAGTAACCGGTTTTTGGTTTGAGTTATGGTTTGGTTTTCAAGGTGGAATGAAGGTCGTCAAGAATAATCGAAGGGGCAACCTTATAGGTCAAGGTACATAAGTGAGAAGAGAATATGAGAACCTCAATGACTACATCGAGAACAAGAGGCGTCTGGAACTAGCGAGTAACATCAAGAAGAAAAGGGACAGGTATAGAAGTAAGAGAGATATGAGTTTAGGGAATCTGATAGGGTACCCCAAAGTGAAGCCAAGATCGCCTATCAGGTTTAAAGGTGTCGATCTCGCCGGTAAAAATTTATTGGACGAGGAAACCGTACGAGGAATTTCAACTAGGGTATAAGAGTGGCAGAATGGATAGTTCGAGAACATAAAAATCAAGCAGCGATAAGGAAGTGCTAAGTTAGACGCTAGGGGTGAACAAATAAGCCAAAGGGAATGTCATGACTCTTGAAGGGAGTCATAAAGTTTCTAGCAAGATAGAGAAAGATGCAAAGGATCAGTTTTAATGTAATCAGAAAGTAAAAGCAGTAGTATGAGGTTTTGGAGTTAAGCAAGAAGTAACAAGGAGATGACCACTTAGTTTATGGTGAAAAGGATTACCACAAGCGATGCTTAGGGTAATCACAGAGGACAAATTTCGAGGGCAAAATTTCTATAAGTGGGGAGGAAATGTGATACCTCGACTTCGATTTAGGTTCAACATTAAGTACTGAATGAGTTGGACCAATAAATCGAGCTAGAAGTTTGTCCCATCACATCCTGGACCCAAGTTGGAAATTTTTGAAAGGGGCAATGAGTCACTCAACCTATTCGATGCTGCCGAGCTAGATGAGAATACCTGTTATGGTCAAGAGTACATATAAGAACTATAGTAAGCTACTCAAGACAAGGTAAGGACACGCCATTGAAGTTCATATAGCAAGAGTGAAATCTTGAGCTAAAGAAGCACGAGGATGAGGAGTATGGAAGGTTGAGCCCGATCAAATTTCAGTGTTTCTTTTGCCCCTTCCAGGCGATCGGAAAAAAAGAAATAGTTAATATATTCAAGATGATTACGCATTTACAAAATACTGACGAAATTTTTATAAGAGTGGAGGAAATGTAACACCCCGATAATATTGATTTAGGTTCGACTTTAATACGTGATCGGTTGGATTGGCGGTTAAGTACTAAGAGTTACAACCGCTGTTTAGGAATAATAATAATAAATATTTTTATTATTATTACTAAAATTAAAAAAAAAGCAGGAGCCGCTCGGCCCCATATTATTTTTCCCAGCTCCCATTAACCCATCCCACATGAAACCCTTTCGCCAGATATTTAACCCTCCCCACCCTTAGGCGACATTGATTTCCGCCGCTCAACCCTTTTCCCCAGCTCGACACGGAGAAGAAGACC